AGAAAGACAGAGGTATAGAGAGTAATAGAGGGGTCACATAGTAGGGAAATAGTTAGAGGGCCTGGTTATAAGATGAAAGAAACCAACACATTCGACGCATTTAACGTCTCGAAGCAATAGAAACTCGAGAATCCATATAAACTAGACGAGCTAGATAATCTATAGAATCCATATCGACTCTATCAAGTGTATCAACCGTCTCGAATGATATCTTCAGTGCTATTATTACTTTGGTTGTTGTGATATGAGGTGACTCCATCCCCGCTCTGCCTTTCCTCACAACAACTTCTCCTCTTCCTCCTTTCTCTTCTCTGTAACCTTGTCTCTCTCTCTCTTTCGCACTCTCTTGCACTCTATCTCGTTCTCCCTTCCTGGTGTTTTTAAAGTCTCTACTTTTTTTCCTGGTTCCTATCCTTAACCTTGCCTTCCCTTCAAAGTCAACCCCATCACCCAGCCTCATGTTCTCCCCATATTCGGAAGAATTCGAGGTCCCCGAATCGACGCTTCGACCATGCGATTTTGACCTGTGAGCCCTTCCCTTTGACTGCCAACCCACATAGGAGTTAAATCACTCCGGTCGGAGTCTGGACTTATCCGTGTCGCGACTTATTCATATTGTCCCTGTTACCTTTGTCAATCTGGTTCTGCCTGGGATGCGCCTGTGTCATCGTCTTTAGTGTAACGCTTCCGAGTTGACCAAGGCGCGCCAGTACCAGATCCTGCTAACCACCCCTCCCTCTACGCGGCCCTTTTTGTATGTACAGATGAATCGGCACAGGGTGATTGAAAACCGCGTGTGTCTTTCACCATGTCGTAAGTCCGTTCGTCTGTGATCTCCGTCCGGCCTCCAGCTGTAGGAGGGAGACTGGGTTGGAATTCAAGTGCACTTGGTCGCGTTCTTATTACATTGCCTTACCTCATCTTATGTTTCTACTATTCCCTAACTCGTTGCCCGATTAGTTCCCCCCCCGACATCTAAACGCCTCAAGACGTCAACAACCAGCGCCCCCCCGCATATGCTTTCGCAACAACAGATCCATCCGTTCCACCGCGTCCCAACCTTTGAAGGCATCCCGATTCCGACTGCTTCTCTATCCCAACAAAACCCCGGCGCTTCGCGCAAACGTCCTCCTTCTCCTACGGGATCGTCAGCCATGATGACAGGCCAAGGGAACCCTTCGGGTGGTGCGATTGATGACTCCGGTGCCATTCCCACGGTTGAGTCTACGCCTAAGAAGAAGGGACGCACCAATACCCCATGGACCGCAGAGGAGGAGCAAAGGCTGAAGACAATGCGCGACGCCGGGCGCAGTTGGAGTGAAATTGCCAAGGTGCGCGCGCGGCTTTTTATAGGCTGAAACTATGGGTTGCTGACCTGGGCCTTTTTTTTCTTACCCGTCACAGACTTTCCCGACCCGAACCGAGGGCAGTGTCAAGAAGCATTGGTATAAGGTGCGCAATATTAAGCGATTTTGGTAATACCACGTCTCGTCTTACTGACACCTTGCGCAGGACATGCACTACGCGGAATTTGCCGAAGATGAGGTATGATCCCGAGTTCTTTTAATGTCCGTTGTCGCACCCGCCCCTGACGTCGCACAGTCTGTGAAGCTTCGGGAGGCGATCAAGGAGTACGAGGCGAACAAGTGGAAGGTGATCGGCCAGAAAGTGGGCAAGCCTGCCAAAGTAAGTACCGGAATCTCCTGCATGTCATCGTGCATCCCATCTAATCTCGATATTTTCCGACAGGCCTGCGAACAGTATGCCAAAGAGCATTTCAAGAACGTCTGACTACCACGATGCCTCTGACGAAGTGATGATATTGTTTTTCTTAGCATCTTTTATGAATTTGGCATTCTCTCCTCCGGATTCCCTGCAATTCCAGAGCGATGCAAGTTTCATCGGTGGCCGCTGGAGGCCACTGATTTTACAAGGCAGATGGAGTTGGTGATCTGGAATATTTTTCAATATTATTCTCGAATTTCTTTTATATGCGCTATATGAACACTTGCGCATCCTGTTTTGCGATCCGTCATGTTTCCCTTCCCACTCCCAGGCGTTGTCTGCTTTGGTTTTGACAGCGCTGCTTTTTTTTTGCGCTTTGTGTCCATCAATACCATATGATTCCCACTGGTCCCAGTCCGAGGAAATTGCAGAAGCAGAAATCAGAAACCCAATGGCTTGTGTGTTGTAACTAGTACAATAACTATGGATGTAGTATGTCAGGTAAGGTGGTGGCGGAAAAAGCCAAAGCGGGCTATCTTATTTCTTTCCCCGCGGCAATCAAATCTTTCCCCATTTTGCTCCCCCCTGGAAATCGGGTGTTTGTCATATCAATTGGTTACCTGCTGTTACCTACTGCTCAATTTGTTTTGGACTTGAATAGCCTCTGCTTCGAAGGTAAAGTATGCCTGTGTGATTGCCTGATCACGTCCGCTGACGTTGGTCATAGTGCCTCTTCTCGGAAGGTAACACAACCTGTGCCACAAGGGACGGCTATCATGAAGACGAGTAGTGTGGCAATCTCTCACGATCAAGGTATCTAGGACAAGCCTCCTGCATGAAGACCGGTGTTCGACTATTGTCGTTCTGAGAATATACGGTTAAACTTGATCTGGGTAATTCCAGCGAAAGGACTCAATGCGCTTTTCCTCTCTTCAGGAAATAGGTGTGATACTAACAGAATCGCAGCATGGCTTCAGGAAATGAAATCACCACCTTAGCGGTGCACTCCAACAAGGAAGACCTGACGAAATTCGCGCCTGAAAGTCCCGGCGTGGTCAACAACGATGAGGCACTCTACCCCGAGACGACGACCAATCGCCGCAATCCCGTTGGATCACGATTGGGCTCCATTATCAGAGCTTTTGAGAACCAGCTCGTCGAGTATAATTTAGAAGCGCGTGGTATCGAACGAGTTGCCGTGGATGAGCGCATGAAGCGCAACACGTGGATGTCGTATCTGCAAGTCTTCTTGCTTTGGATCTCCATTAACCTTGCACCCAATAACATTACCCTCGGGATGTTAGGGCCTGCAGTCTATGGTCTCAACTTCCTAGACTCGGCACTTTGTGCTGTCTTTGGCTCTCTAGTTGGTTCCATCGTCTCTTCTTGGATGGCCACATGGGGGCCCGTTTCCGGGATCCGAACATTGGTGCGTAGCACATATTGAATCCGTTGGACTATTATTTGATCGAGAGGGCTAATCGGTGACTAGGCATTTGGAAGGTATTCGATGGGTTGGTGGCCTAGCAAGATCATTGTTCTATTGAACCTTATTCAGATGATTGGATACGGCTTGATTGATTGCGTCGTTGGCGGACAAATATTGTCTGCTGTCTCCCCTGGTGGCATGTCCGTAGCTGTCGGTGGGTATTCCGAAAACTTCATACATCAATAGTGATACTAATCTTGATATTATAGGCATCGTGATCATTGCGGTTATCAGCTGGGCTGTTGCCACATTCGGCATCCAAGTTTTCCACTACTATGAACGGTTAGTCTTGAGAGATTATTGCCATGAGGAACAGTGTCACTGACGGGCCTCATTAGATTCGCTTTTTTGCCCCAAGTAATTGTGGTTTGCATCCTTTTCGGGGTGTCATCCGTGAAGTTTGACTTGTCAACCACCTCTACTGGCGATTCTCGGACAGTAGCTGGCAATAGGTGAGTCTGCATCTCAGACCTAAAAATCGAAGCCCAGTTTTCTAACATGGTCCCAGGCTATCCTTTTTCTCCATCTGTCTGAGCGCCGCAATCACCTATGCCCCACTAGCAGCCGACTTCTTCGTCTACTACCCCGAAAACACCTCTCGCCTGAAGATATTCAGTCTATGCCTGGCAGGCCTTCTCGTCTCCTTCACGATGGCCCTAGTCTGCGGCGTCGGGTTAGCCTCAGGCATACCTTCGTTCCCAGAGTACTCCGCCGCCTACGAAAAAGGCCAAGGAGCACTAATCGTCGAAGGATTCGGCCCGCTGCACGGCTTCGGCAAATTCTGCTCAGTTATCTGCGCCCTAGGCCTGATCGCCAATACCGTCGCGCCCACTTACTCCGCCGGCATCGACTTCCAGATCCTCGGTCGCTACGCCGAGGCCGTACCGCGCGTCATCTGGAATACTATTGCCGTCATTATCTATACCGTCTGCGCGCTCGTTGGCCGCAGCAACCTCTCTGAGATCTTCACCAATTTCCTCGCTTTGATGGGCTACTGGGTTGTCATTTGGATTGCTATTGTCCTCGAGGAACGGTTCATCTTCCGCCTTCGCACTGGGTACAACTGGGGCATCTGGCGGGATCCGTCAAAGCTGCCCATTGGCATTGCGGCTTTCACTGCCTTTATCGTTGGCTGGGTGGGCGCCGTATTGTGTATGGCGCAGCTGTGGTACATTGGACCCATTGCCAAATTGGTCGGCGAATACGGTGCTGATGTGAGTTAAATCCCATCTCCCATCATTTGTGTATTTGTTCCTAACTAATTACTCTCTAGATGGGAATTTACGTCGGATTCTGTTGGACTGCGCTTGTTTACCCTCCTCTCAGATTCATCGAACTCCGTTTCGTGGGTCGCTGAACATTGGCTGATGATATATGAATGATGTCATTTCTAAGCATATGAGTGGACGAGCATTGCATATTTACCTCCCTGTTGAGGCTTCGCATATACTACCGCATTTTTCTAGATACATACATGTACATTGGATCAAAAGTGATATATGGATAGACTCAAAAATACATTTTCTTTCTTTCTATCTACACCGGTATCGAAAAAGTTCTACTAACAGGACGACCGGTGATATCCCATCTCATAGTAACTACGAACCCAAATAGATATAGGTCAAAAGTAAAAACCTCACCAACACTCACATTTCATCTACTAAAGCACTATAGTACAAAAGAGACGTAGGAGTCACGGAGACAGAACAAAGACAGACACGCAGCATAATGTTCACACTGTATTGGGATTTCCAAGCAACATCCAAAGAAAATCGGCACTGAAGATTTACCGGTACCAGTAGTCAGGCTTGACGTAGTCGGCGAAGGTCTTGGGCTCGACGTGAGCGGGGTGGTGGTGGTGACCGTGGTCGTCTTCTGAGGGTGATAATGTTAGCACAACCAACAGATTATCATATACTATAAGCAAAAAAGAGAGCAGGAAACATACGGGAGTGGGGGTCCTCCTCGGGTCCGACGTAGTTCATCTTGACCACGTTACCGCACTCGCGGCAGCGCTCGATGGGACGATCGCGAGAGACCTAAAAGACGCATAGTCAGTCTCTAGAGCTGGAGATATTAGACCGCTTGGGCTTGGGTGGGGCGGTCATACAGTCAGCCAGTTGACCTGGTGGGAGTCTACAGGGTAACCGGTGCAACCGGCGTACTGCTCATCACCGGCGCTGTTGACGATGATGGGGTCTTCGATTGTACCTGAATAAATCGACGCATTTTGTTAGCCAATGTCTCGGTCTTCGCCCCGAAGTAATGATCACGCAATTCCCGCGGTATTTGATCATTCGTTCTGGAATTGCGATGGAAAGTTGAGATATTAAGGAGTCATACCCTTGCGGGAGGCATCAAGGGGACGCATGTCGAAGATGTCAATTCCCTGCATCTTTCCGATGAGTTCCAGACGCTCAAGACCGGTGGCCTGCTCGAGATCGGTGGGAATGGTACCGGGCTTGGCACCCGGGGCAAAGAGGTCATCCTCGGTCTTGATCTCTATATATCGAGAAGATAGGTCAGCATTGTGGTTTTTGGAGATTTTTTGTAGTTATCCACTCGAGGTAGAATGACAAGCCTGGCCCGTGGCTCGGGAAAAGTATCCGCCTGACCAGCACCCGAGGTTCTATAGCGTCCAATTGCACGCATATTCTCGAGTGTGTGACTATATGGATCCTTGTCGAGCCGCACAGGCCGGAAGAAAAGTAATTGACTGGCATGGGGTCGGGTAAAGCACTAACCATCGAAGGTCAAGATCTTGCCCTCCTGCTTGGGAGCCCACTTCTTGTCGCTGGCTATTAAACGTTAGCTGGTGATCATGATAGAAGATTCAGACCAATTGACTGCAAATCGCCCCTTGTGGTCGGGGTGCGCGGGATTGGAGCAGTTGTGCGAAGGTCGGATCAGGCCATTTGAGGAGTCACGTACAGCGAATGACAGAGGAAGAGAAGGGGCGCTGGGCGAGGGTAAAAGCGCGGGCAGGCGAGCGCCTGGCGAGGGCGGAGGCTGTACGTTGGAGGAACATTGTCCTGGAGGTGATGGTGTGAATGACGCGGGGCGTTTGGGGCAGGAGAGGGAGTTTGGAGGTTTGAGGTTGGGCGAGTTTGAAGCCGCTTTGGTCCGACCGCCTGTGATTGGCTGACCGGAACATCCAATAGGAGCGCGACTAATGATGAGTCAGCCCTTCTGATTGGCAGGAGCTCTCTGTACGGCGGCCTGCGAGGTCAATCTACGAGCGGCAGAATATCCGTTTCGGAACACCTAGGGCTTCTCTGTGTAGGGCACGGGGTGGCATGATATATTGGAAAACAATCAGTTACGCCAACACGCATTATCAAGTCACAGTATAATAAACAAGTCCCTCTAAACTAACAAAACATACACTCCAACATCACTCAAGCTGTTCGGCTCTCAGCTTACACGCCGCTGGTGGTATACCAGGTCCAAGCTTCCGGGAAATGTGTGCCCATTTGTTGTCCTCATAGTCCTCCAACGCCTTTTTCAGTTTCCGATCCTGTCCTAGGACTTAGCGCAATTCCGGTTTCTTAGTCAGGTGGGGTCAAACATACCAAAGCATCATCCCAAACCACAGCCCTTTCCTTCAATTTGGTACAGTAACGGACTTGCAATGTTTGCTGTTTTCGCCCTGGAAAGAAGCACTCAATCTGCCTCCAGGAAAACTTCCAGTGCTCCTTCAGGGCTATCAACATCTCATCTTCCCTGTGACCGAATCTGGTCTTTGGCGCTTTTGGCTCAGGGTATGGTGCCGGCAAGCCTGGAAGGTTCATAAAGCTGCGGTCGAGTGGCGGCTGTTCAGAGCCCTGGCCAGCAGAAGCTGTAGCCACCGATGCTTGGGGTGGTAGCCTATGGTGGTGATGCTGTTGCGGGAGAGAGGACTGGAGGTAGTCCTGGTTCGATGTCTGGCGGGAAGATGAAGGAACGGCATGACCAGCGTACGTCAGGTCGGCCGATTCACCTGCAGGAGCCGATGGATCACCCATGGGTAGATTTTGCAAGACAGGTCGGTAACCATAATTGTGATCACCGTCTTCTCTGGCCTCAGGCTCATTGTCGGTACGTTGTCGTTTTCTGCTACCCTGAAGTGGGGAGAGTCTATACCCATGTGTGTTGTAATGTGAAACCGGCTGGCGTGCGGGCGAGTGGTTCGTGATAAAAGTCGACGGAGACCCAAAGGGCGTCTGGGTTGTATCAGAGTGGTAGCGAATGCCATCGGGCCTATCTTGGAGCAACTGCGCCGCGCCGTAAGAAACGATATCCTCCCCGTTCGCATCTTTACCACTGTCATGAGGAGTGTAGTTAACCATGAAGCCTCGATAAGGGTCCGCTGGTGCTGTAGACATAAAAACAACACTAGGACCTGCAGCCCCAGCAAGTGCCTTGAGTGGCAGTTGGGAGATGAACAATCCCAGGGCGTTTTTATTCCCGAGTCTCTCTTTCGACTAGAAAGGCAAAGAAAAGAAAAGCCTCTGCTGTTGCATAGGAGGACGATGCCAAGAGAAACTTGCCTGTATATAACCACAACAAAGACGAGAAAGGCCTCAACGCGTTGACATGCAGAAGAGGATGGATAGGATTACTTTGGGTCAAATTGTAGGCAGGTTTTGCAGAAGAATCGGTTATAAACAATGTATAGCTAGGTAAAACAACAAAGATTTTTTTCTTAGATTATGAGCGAACGAAAAACGAAGAGAAGGACCTATCTATAACAACATCCTGGAGAGTGCCCTGGGGGAAATCCAACCGTGTGCCGGTGACCAAGTTGGAGCGTGCGCTGCCGGGCTGATTCCATCAGTCTCCAGTGGACCGGACTGCAAGAGGACTCTGAATCACCATAGTCAAGTTCTCTCGGGATAGGCAGTTGTATCCCATCTTTCCGGCCATGGGGTAGTGTTTCTCTCCCTTGGGTTTCGCACAGACGCCCAACATAAAGAGGAGGGGTTCAAAAAAACCTTCGACGCGGTAGAACCTCCCCAAAACTATTGTTGGCAAAGCGCCTATTAATGGGGATCAAAACCCAACGCAAAATATGGGACCAGGGTAGTCTAGGGTCAAGAGTCAAGAGCCGTGACAAAAGAAAAAGACACGGCAGACAGGTGAAGCCTGTCAGACTTCGCTCGGGGACATAGCAATGTGATGAATCTATGGCAGTCCCTTGTTACGACCATCATGGACCAATTAAACTTTTTGATCAACGAGCCATCTTATCGCTGTCAATTACCCTGGGCGCCAACATATCCAGCTCTCACAATCGCTTTCGTCAGTAAGTTGATCATTTCCTCAATCGGTTACATACAATTTGCTAATACAGACTTAGCAACATTCCCTCTTCGCATCGCCAGATGGCGTCCGAATCTGATCAATCAAACTCTTCTACTTGAAAGAGCAGAAAAGATCTGCGATTTCCTCAAGCAACCACCATATCCCGATATCCACCGGACTGTTTCCATCTTCGTCAACTACGCACGCGCCTTGATTGCCAGTCAATGTCCGCAGAACAATAATAGTACAGATGTACCAATCATGTCCGGTCAAAGTGAGGGCCCGCCATTCCAGGGAGCTGATAACCCCATGATCAACGGCCCGCCTCCATCAGGGGTGGGTCCCCTCGAGGATCTCCGCTACAGAACCGGCCCGACCATTCAGGCCGATAAAGTTTCAAATATGGTCTCAATGCCAAGTAGTGACCCATCTGCAGCTAGAGCGCCGGTATCTCGGATATCCGGCACCATGGAAGCACCGAACTGGACTGTATCAAACTCTATTGCAGATTCTTTTGGTCTGTTTGAGGAGGGGCAAAACGATATCTTCGATTTCTTGCCTATGATGCCATCGATTCCACAGTAACAACTACATACCTAATACACCTTATTGAAGTTTATCACTCCAATTCCACTGTCCAGCTGTGTAAATCGTGCAAGGACCAAGTTCTAGCCTTGTAGATCAAAGCCGATAGGTGTTCTATCGAACAACAAATTGGGCCGCAACGCGCAATGCGCAACGCAGTGTGCTTGTTTATTCACGTGTGTTCAGTCACACCGGTCTAGATATCCACTCAAAATCCATCTTAGCAATCAATTTCTGCGTCAGGGGCAGCCATCCATGTCCGGATCCTGCCCGGCGCCGTGAGTGGATTGCCCTAACAGCCGGCCCCGCACCGGCGCCGGCTTCCCACCCAAAAAAATCGAAGTATACCGGTCTCTCATTGGCTTGTTGCCTACTTTAATATGATAGATAGAGGCATTATGCAAGATCAACACGTTCTAGCCAGGTGAGTCAAAGAATCTTCAGGATTTTTCAATCAAGGTCCGCTGGTTGCAATGGGAACGAGAAACTTTCTACTTGGCTTATATAGCGCTTGGTCCTCATCTACCGGTGTTCTTGAGAATCAGAATAAAAACATACTTCCAATCTTCTTCCTTTGTGTTCTAGCTGCCCCCACTTATTTGATGGTGCAATATGGCGTCAGAAACGAAACAATCTCTAAGGGCTCAGATAGCCGCCATCCTTTCTTCAGGTACGATCAACCTTATCCAGTATTTCCGGTCTGCTCTAACATATATTAGACAATGATGACGGTGTTGACGAGAGGTCTCTTGCCTCAACGGAGAAAAATCCAAAGTCAACTGGTGATTACCGAATAGTTGAACTGTCCCAAGATGAATTGCTTGTCGAGTTCCAGGAGAACTCACCAAGAAACCCACCAAATTGGGCCTTTGTACGCACATTTATACATCTATATATTCCGAAGAATTGACTAACAAAACCAATAGAGCAAAAAGTTCTACAATGCGATTGTAGGGATATTTATAGTCCTCAATAGCGGCATATCATCCGCACTTCCTAGCAATGCAGTCCCCGCTATCATGCAGGACTTCCACGAGTCCGGAGACCAGCAAAAAGTCTTACCAACTGCCGTCTTTCTCATTGGCTACGTGGTTGGGCCTCTGCTATTCAGTCCATTGAGTGAAACTATTGGACGGAAACCCGTTCTCCTCTGGTCTTTCACTGTTTTTGTCCTCGCTACGCTTGGATGTGCTCTAGCGCCAAATTGGTCCTCTTTTCTTGTCTTTCGGACTATTTGTGGTCTGGCAGGGGCTGCTCCACAGACAGTTGTTGGTGGTATTTATGCGGACTTGTTTTTTGATCTGCGAACCCGTGGTCGCGCGATGGCGATGTATATGTCGGTATGTTATGATCAATTACGTCAACGGTAGAATGTGTGAATAGTACTAATATGTATTCTAGGCTTGCAGTTTTGGTCCCATTTTGGGCCCGATCATCTCTGGATGCTCAGTCAAATATGGTTGGAGATGGCCTTTTAGGATTGACCTGATTCTGTCGGGTATTACCTGGTTGGCTCTGCTCCTCACGTCTGGTATGATTATCAATTGGACCAACAGTGGCATTAGCTAATCTCAAATTAAAATAGAAACTTTTGGCCCAGCAATCTTGAACCGACAATCAGCCAAATTGAGAAAACATTCGGGATCCAATCGATACTTTTCGCGTCAAGAGCTCAATCTGGACTCGAGATTCACTCCGATGGAAATCATCACTCGTCCCATCACGATGCTCTTTTTTGAGCCTATCATCACCTCAACATCCATCTATATCGCCCTCGCATATAGCCTGGTCTTCTTTTACTTCCAGGCCTATCCCATCATCTTTGAAGGTACTGCTCCATCTGGTCTTCTCATTGATCTCCAATACTAACAATTGATCGATAGGTGTCTATGATTTCACCGTCGAGCAAACTTCCCTCACATATATCCCAAGTATGTAAATTTCTTTTCATAATATCCCCAGACATAGCTAACCATCACAGTTGGCATCGGCGCCGCATCCTCCGGCTTCGTCGCCCTCTACTACGACATGATCTACGAAAAAGCCAAAAAGCTCAACAAAGCCTGGACCTCCAGCGAAGAGTACCACCGACTCCCCATGTCCTGTATCGCCGGGCCCTGTCTAACAATCAGCATGTTCTGGCTCGCCTGGACAGCAAAGCCCACCATGCATTGGGTAGCACCCGTGATGTCCGGGTTCGTCTTCGGATTCGGATTCCAGACGATCTTCATTTCGCTTCTTACCTACGTGACCGACGCATACAAGATCTACTCTGCCAGCGCACTGGCCGCTTCCGTTATTGTACGGAGCATTGCTGGAGCGCTTTTCCCGCTGGCCGCCCAGCCGCTCTATAAATCTTTCGGGGTTTCATGGGCTACTTCCCTCCTTGGCTTTATTAGTCTTGCTTGCATTCCGATTCCTTTTGCTTTGATGCGATTGGGTCCTTGGATTCGTGAGAGAAGTCCCTTCTGTCAGAGGCTAATCTTGGAGGAGAAACTCAAGGCCAGTGGGTCAAATACACCCGTGCAAGTATAGAGAGAGAGGCATTCTTTTCGGGTTTTGCATTTTTGGCTTTGGATTACGGGGATTCTGGTTTATTGGCCAGGAAATAAGTACGAAATAATGACTTGATACCTAATTTAATAAAAGTTATGATTTACAATTAGAATACTGTCAAATAATACCCAATAATTGACATTGGCGGAATGACGCTATTAGTTATACATCAGTCTAGGAAAAAGCATCACGGTCTCTAGCACCTGGACGAAACCGTCGACCTGAGAAGTGTATATAGCCTCATTGATTTATCGGAGATATTTATACGGTCGCAATTTCTTCAACGCCGAGAAATGAGTGTATACGGAAATTTGTATGGTGGGAATAGCTTCATTTTCTGAACTGAGCGCTGTCATGGTAATTCAGGCATTTGACCTTTGGCCGCTCTGCCCCTTCGCAGAAAACCTTCGCAAATCGTGATTTGTTGTCCCATCCTTGGTCAGATTGCATACGTAGCGTAGCGTATTTCGATATGGTAATTCACGGTTTACATGTAAGTACTTCGGTGCAATATTTACAAGGGCACAAGGGAGCCAATGCTAAAAGATAAAAATAAATTCAAAGCCGAGACCTATCGGAGCTAGACTGGGAGCTAACTTGGAACATCTCTAACAACAGCGTCTGGCGCTGGCGACTTTAAAATGATTTCGCCTCTCCAAAACAAAAGTTTGACTAGAAGGTCCATCCCGAGGTATCTATATCTTTTCTCCAGTACCAATCCCTGCAAGGCTTAGCTAGGTCATACATGGCCAATGTAGTGTTGTCTGCTCGACCCTTGCGCTTGAAGAATTCCGGGTCTTCAAATCCTACGAAATGACTGAATATAAAATGTTAACACCTATTTTGGACTCCGCATCATCTCCTCGCAAGATATTATGCAAAACCTACATTGTTTCCCTTTCCTCGTTCCATATCAAATTTTCAAGGCGGCTATCGACTGGTAGAATTCCAATATCCGCAGCTTTACTAATCATATATTAGTATCATTCCACAACAAACAGCCTTTCAAGTTAGATAGAGCTTACTCGTATTCCTCTAGGAAGACTTTGCGGATCTTTGCACGAGTTTCCGGTGGCTGCTCCCAGTACATGCTATCCCCATTTTCATCTCCAAGGGCAATTCCCTCAACTTTTTCAAAGATAATCCATGTGATAAAGCCACCTGGGACGGAACCAGAGGAGTCCTGAGTCCCTTGCTCCCATGCTAGGAGCTTAGGGGTATTAGGCGAATTTCTTTCCTTAAGGGCTTGGTATGCCTCTAGCTCGGGTGGCGTAAATTGAGTGGCTTCCCGAGCTCGGATGGCTTCGTATGCTTTTAGCTCGGAGGGAGTAAATCGAGCGGCTTCCTGGGGTCGAATAGGGCCTATGTCGCCCTTGACAGAAGGAATCTGCTTCACGATACGGAGGAAGGCTGTGGGCCCATTAGGAGATTGGGCATCGCGACAGACGAATTTAGCGGAGGCTAGGGAGGGGTGGGAGGGGTAGGAGGTAGCATCTTGCCATTGCTCGACGTGCTCGTTAATCTTTTGGACGACTTCCCAGTTAGAAGGGGTAGGCTCGCTCAGAGTCAAGATCTTGCATTCTGAATCCTGGATAGGATCAGGAAACCATATTTTTTGATCAGCCATGATAGGTGCCTGCTAGAACAAATTTCCATGTAGGAACTGACTTATACATATATATGGATGTGACGTAGCTCTGATCCTTTCTATAAGTAACGTTGTTCTTGTTCCATGAATCTTAGAACTTTGCTCATCGCGCGGTGATTTGAACACTGTGGCAGTGTTTCACTAAACGTCTGCCCACCAAGTGCCTGTCCAAAGGTGTCATCGTGCCTGATTACTGGCGAATATTCCAGACCCCAGTCGCTTTCAACATCCACTTTCCGAACGAAAATGGTCTCATCGTATGTTGTAAGGAACGCGTACTTAAGGTCCAGCTCGCGCATTTGGCCGGCCAATTGCCCTATACGTTATATAAATGTTAGCCTTGGAACGTATTGAGCTTGGTGGATTATATGATCACACGAACCTAGGTACCGCCGAAGATACTTCTCTTCTCCGCCTTCGAACCTGTCCACGGCCTTATCCAGCATATTAACCTTCCGATGATCCCATGGTGTTTTCGCCTCTCCGACGACCTTGATGGCTCTGGCGAATCAAGGACCACGAAGTCTGGAACGCCCGTGAAGGGAGTTGGCCTCGCAGCCTTGTAATCCGCGAATCGCAGATTATACCCTTGGGTTTGGAGAACAGTTGTCACTGCCTGTCTAATTCTTTCGTGGAACCTTCCGCGCACACCAAGTTCGTCCCCAACCAGAATCTGCTTGGTTGTGACAGAGAATGCGCTGCCTATCACAATGGCCTCGATTACCGCCGGATCCCAAGCTCCGTTGTGAGAATCGTACTTGGCGACGACATCTTGGTGAAAAATCTGCCATTCATGAGGCGCCAGGTCGATGTGGAGAAGAAGGAGTGCATTCAACCAAATAACTAAGATGAAGAAAGAAAGAAGAAGCAAGTTGAAAAGTTGAAGAGGCCAGTTGATATAGCTGACCACTTTGCAAACGTTGCAAACAACTAACCTTCAACAGCACACAGCAAACGCCGGGATATGGAAGTAGTGGGTTCCTCTTGCTTTGGCCCTTTCGAGGGCAGCTTTCAAGGCAGGTACAGTCACTTTGCTTTCAGTTTACCCTCACATGAGGTTTAGATGGCGAGGTTGGGTGAGAAGATGATGATGATAGTGAGACATAGATCCCTGTCCGCCATGGACCTTCGCAGCCAATGCCAAACGATCAAAAGATAAAAAGATAAAAAGCAAAGATGAAGCCAAACCCCATCGGAGTTAGATCAACAACCCGGGCGCTAACTCGAAACCTCCCCAACCAGAGCGTCTAGTTGCCTGGCGTCTTTAAATCATTTCGCCTCTCCACTTTCAAAAGGTCCAGAATCGCATCTTGGTTTCTTGATTTTCTTGATTTCCTTGGTCTTCTTCATAATACTCTTGATTTATTTCTCGTTTCTCGAAATGTACTCGCATCTTGAAGCTGAAGGCACTTCGGTAACTGTCGCTCATTGCAAGGCGCAAAACTTACGAGTTGGTTCGTGATCCCCTCCCCCCACTTCCCTCCTATCCGTGTCTACTCCCGTATATTAGTATGGACTAACCCGACAACGATTAAGTCGATCGTGTTCTTGAGCCTCAAACCGTCGCACATTTCCTTCAATTTGCGTTCGGTAATGGGCCCCTACCAAATGGTGTTCAACCCAACACCGAGCGCTTGTCCGCTGAGGAAGCACTCTTCATCAAACCAAATCAAAACTTCCCTCCAGACTCCGATGGCGAACCTCTCATGACCACTGTCATGTCCCGGATTGGTTCCCATCGTGATCCCGGTCGTCTGTGCATGGTCGGAAAGAACTTGCAATTCCTCAAGTCCCGTTTATGGGAGGGCGTCATCCCCCTGAGCGACCAGCTATGGCAGGAGAAGGGCCTCGACCGACCAGAGCATTTTGATTTCGCGTGTCAGTATCTAACGGCCGTGATAGCCGTGTTCCAGTATTTGAATGAACCAACCGTGCGATTATATCTTCGCGACACGTTCAATTACATCCACGAGCATTGGGCAGCGCTCGACACTGTTCTCAACAACTGCAGAGCGGAGCAAGGTAAAAATCGCGTTAGTGTCGCCGGTCTCTGGACAATGTACATGGCGGCGCATTTTGAGATGATGAGCGAGCGCGCCCATAGATGGGTTACTGTGCATGTCAATACACTACGAGCGCCATTACTGCGAGCCCTTCTAGAGCATCGGCCAATAGATGGGGGAGCCAACCCCCTCGGCGAGCCTGACGCTATGCAGTGGAAACTTAGTGATGCGCTGCACATGCTGGCTGAAATTACCGCCAACGCGGATTACACCATCATGATCCCTATGAACGGTTACAAGGGGTATGGGGCAGCTCCCCCGCGGGACGGTCCGTCAGCACTTCATGCGGCGAATCTACGGGCGAGAAGTAAAGCATACCATGAGCGTGCCAGGCTGCTCACTCGAGAAGGGCTCGCCCGTAGTGCAGCTGCGTTCACGGGTTCATCTACAGTCCCTTCGGCCGCAGTATCATACCATACGACATCCCAGTGCCAGATTAAAGGCCAGAATCGGTTGAGAAAAGAGATTCGTGGTGCACCTATTGAACCCATTCCGCGCGAGCCTTGGATTGCTGCCTGCGCTTCGAGGATTGAATCCGGAAGGAGAGAGCAATCAGGAAGGAGGGAGCGTAGGTACGGGTTCGCTGTGTATCGGTTGACTTACGGGCAGACGGAGTCTGAATGGGCAGAATTCGTCCGCAAGGTGGAAGCTCATGTTTCGGATTGGGGCAAAGGGCAAACAGGAAGCGGCGCGATCAAGAACCATTTGAGGCTGCACTGGCTGGATGGGGAAGAGTTTGGTATTCCAGAGGGCGATATCGATGCATCTAGAAAGTGAGTATGCCCTTTCCCTCTCTTTTTTCCCCTGTCCTGCACTGCGAAGCTAACAAGCCAACCAGACACTTCGAAACCATCAAAAATGTCCTCGACGACTGGTCAAAGTTACAAGTCAGGGCTTTCCTCGCCGTTGACTCCGCCTGCTTTGCCTCATACGCCACCAATTCGTACAGTGCCGTGACATCCCGGCTCATTCCAGGTGACTTTGCCGGCTTCCTTCTCGCCGTCGATCCAGAATTCGACTCGAAGAATGGTAGTGAACCAGCCGACGAGTCTCCAGGCTACGAAGGCCACATGCGCATCCTCGGAAGCCTTGTGTGGAGTGATCTCTATTCCCTGCTATTATCACAGACGGCAGATCTCGAAGAATACTGGCCACTGGCAAGCGAGCACCCGAACATGGTGTATGTCGGCCCGACAATCCCATGGCAGCGATACATCTGGAAGAAACACAACGAGATGCGCTGGAATATCCTTCGAGCGGTGGTAGACTATGTAAAGCGTAACCCGGGAGTGCCAACAACGCAAGCACCCCGGGCGCAAGGTACGCTTGCAGCGATATCCCAGACCGCAGCTGCGTCTACAACTACGCCAACAAACCCTGCTATACCCACACCGACAGCACACACAGAGCAGGACCCTATTAACGGAGCCTTCCGCACATTCATGCTCCTCGAGTTCCAACGCTACTTACGCCAGCAGGGTCACCCGCGGCGGGCGGCCATGGTCGATGAATTGCTCCGTATTCAGCCTAATGAGGAGCCGGATGTAGGACGGCTGAGACAGTTGGTGAATGATGAGAATGAACGACAGGAGCAGCGGAGACGAGATGGTTTGGGTGAGGATGAGGAGGCTTCGGGGGAGTACCGGCCGGACTGTCCATTGCAGTAATTAGGGCTAGGTTTATTTCTTATTAGTTGTGAATAGTTCTCATAATGGAATGAAAGGGTTTATCTCGCTGGCTGGTCTAGGGAGAAACCCATGCATACAGAGGTCAAGGGTGACATATTGAAAACCGAAATTGAAATTGTTTAAAACATAAAGCATAGCCACCCGCGCTGACATCAACGCAGGAAGATACACTAACCCCGATGCTTGAAGCCCACACCCCAGGGCCAAGTTTAGTCATAGTCCTGACGAGTTCGCTTGCGAGGACGCTCATCCGGGTCCACAGCCTTATGCCAACCAACCTGGCACATATCCTCCGTCAAGTCCCTTCCACAGCAAGGATGAAAGAACATTTTCGGCCAAGCTTCGCGATATTCCTCAGTGTCATATCCATCATATCCAAGTCCATAGGCAAGTTCGTCCTTGACGCACATTTCCTCGTCGAGGATGTCGAGCTCTGTTCATATATTAGTTACATTTCCCACTTGAGCGCATGTGTACTTGGGAGAATACACGTACCAACGTGATATCTACAGCTTGTCTCTGAGTTTCGAGTGACGTCGAAATTTTCCATGCAGTAGATGCAATTTGCGAAGCGGGATGTCATTGGGACGCTGACTTCTTGCTCAGAAGTAATGCGGGCTGAAGTGATGGGGGCCTCAGAAGTGACGCGGGCAGTGGAAGAGACAGGGAGAACGGGCTCGGCTTTCACATCAGCCTTTGGTGCTAGTAGCCATCCCGAAGCAATCTTGCGGCCTTCGGGGCTGTTCTTGATGATGTCCTTCAGGATACCCTCCAGCAGGAATTTAGATTGTTTCTGCATTGCTACTAGGAGGAGTGACAGGTTCTCTGGTTGCTCGTCAGGCGAAGGCATAGTGACGGTTGAATGAAGTGCAAGTAACGTAGGGAGAGAAGAAAGGTGAAGTTCTGTTCAGGGTCTTTGTGTCTTTTTGTGGGCTGCAACGCGCGCGTCCTTTGGTTATAGAACAAACACGACTAATCAAAGGGGCGCACCGCAGCGAACGCAGGCATCTTACGACAAAGGCATATATGCGGGAATGAACTATTGTATGTGCTTTGGTCGCCCTACATCGTCATTTCAAGAGAGAAAGACTCTGTGCCAGGCTATTCCAATCCGAAAAGTCGACAAAGTTCGGATCCCAAATATCAATATCGAAGCCTCCGTCAAGCCTCGAATCCCGAGTCCCAGGTCCAGTCCCATCAGCACAGACAGGACAATTCCCATGGACAATTGGATGACTCTGCTCATGCGCCTGGCGAATACGCCTCGCCTTATTCCGCAACTGCACAATCATCGGCCATTTAGGACCCGGGTCCGGCCATGAGGGATCATCCGTCAAATCGAACTGCATATCGATAGCGCGCCAAGCTCTTTCGACATGCGGACCAGTGGGGTAAACACACAGAGTCCAGAGAATGAACGTGAAGAGGTGGTACTGGGTGAAAATCATCATCATCCAGCGGAAGCCACGCAGTAATGCATTGCTGTTCATCTCAAGGCCAATTTCCATGCCATAGCAGGCTTGTGCCAGCGTATCTTGGACGAGGTTGTGGTCGAGTGAGCATGCCGCCGGTCCCTGTGACTGCAGCTGTTTCTGTCGAATGCACACTTCGATCTTTGTGAGAAGCAGCCGGCCGAGGAGGAAGCCGAAGCGCTGGATTGGGATGTTCGGGTCGCTGTGGCGCAGGTATTTCTCC